AAGTTGTCTGTAATTAACTTTATCTTTCTTTCAGATCAGACAGCAGAAAAGTAAAATTATTAGAGGATGAAGTTTATAGGATAAGGAGGTAAATTTGACAACTTTAGGATCTTACAGCCAAGATGGAATAGACATTAAAAAGTGACTGCTGCAGCAATGTTAAATATCCATACAGTAATCAAATGAACAGCTTAAGCTGCAGATGGAGACATTCGGTAGTGACAATAGGTGGAATTTCATTCAATTAAAATTAGGTTCTGACTGTCTTCACAAAATAGAGTTATCTGACAGGTCAATTTGGGGGTGGGGATCCAGGTCTTCAGGAGAAATCCCAGTGGAATTAGATCCATGACAATCACAGATAAATATGCTTCAGCAGTTGATTGAACACAACAGTCCCATTATCTCTTGAACAATTTTCAAAGAAAAAGTACAAAACATACAGAAAGCGTTGCTAAGAATAAAAAAGGAATATAGCCTAATGTCAGTTTACATGTTCTTTGTTGCATATTAGAAATTTATCTGAAATAAATACCTTTTTTTGTAAGATAATATGTTGCATTTTATACTGTTTTAAATACCCCATATCTTAGGTTATGTTATGATTCAGGATGAAATAAGTATTTTGTGAGTTTGTCAGATAATCATATTTTTTAAGGAACTGTTCATGAAGTCATGAAAAATGTAAAACATCAATCATCACAGTTCATGAATATGTTCATTAACTGTGATGAATGTTAATGAACCAGTTAGTGAACTTTTATGAACTGTTCATGAATTCCGTTCATGAATAGTTTATGGACGTTCAAGAACAGTTTGTAAAGTTATGGTTCATGAACGTTCATGAACTCATTTAATTTCATGAACTGACCATTTTCAGTTCATGCACATTCATGAGTGATTCATGAACCTTTTGATGAACTTTCAGGAATGGTTCATGAACCCTTCAAGAACAGTTCATGAATTATTCATGATCATATCATAGGGGTAATTATGCACTTAAAAGTTGTCAAAATGACTCAAAACTTAAGTGTTAAGCTGTATTTATCATACTGTGTAACATATATACTGTATATATTGTAAAGTACTGATGGCCTCGAGGTAAATTAATTTCTGATACTGAGTTATCTTCTCTAATTATAGTAGTAGTATTCAAGGATTTTTCTATTTTAGTATCAGTGGCCATATCTGATGGTGGATAAGATTCATTCACATAAACATGAAAGGTTCTCAAGCAAGAAAGTTTTCTGTTGAATTTAGTCACATTCAATTTAGCAGTTTTGGAGAAAAGAAATTTTCAAAGACTTTTTCTGTTTTGAGTATGGTAGCCATATTTAATGGCAGATCATAATTTTGTACAAATTTAAAATGTCTTCAAACCTGGATATTTGTCAAATTCAGAACTGAAATCAACATCTGAATATTTGATTACGGGGGATTTCTTGCAAATACTCCAACTGGAAACTGATACATATAATCAGACATTTTGTTGCATCATTATATATGTATCCACTTTTACTACTCCTCATGAGTTACTCAGATTCTGAGATGGACCAATAATGTAATGCATAGAGTTACCTGGGGAACATAATATGTACCTATACTCTACCTGTAGTCTAATAATCTAACTAAACAGTATTACCAGTACCATATTTTTTCAGGTGGTAAATACCAAAGTATGTTTTCACTCTACAAGGACTCTGGTAATAATTTCCTTCAGTAAGGATTATACGAAAATTCCCAAGGAATCATGCTACAGCTTTAATGATATTAGAAACATGTTTTCATTATTCATGATCAAACAGTTTTAAAAAATTATATTTTTACAAAATGGTTGTATTTGTCACAAATTAATGGTAAATATTACAAATATAGTTATATATATGAACATTTAATCACACGTTTGCCAATGTGAAGGCCAAATGGAATGCTGTGAAACATTTGGGCAAAGTCCAACTTTCAAAACAATTTTAGATTTTATTTAAAAAAAGTAATGCATAAGTTAATGTTAAGTACTGTACATGTATTCCTTTGAAAAACTGTGAATTATCCTGTGATTTTCAGGAGCACATGTTTTCTGTCTGAATTTCACATAATTCCTCAAGTCCATTAATTATTTTCTCATTTTTAGAGTAAGTGTGTTTTATGTTTACTTGCCCTCACTGATAAATATCTTGTCCAGGTGTTGGCATCTCTCTCTCAAAGTTTCCCAATTTAATCACAGCTTTTAGATTACAACTTGTGCAAAATTTAAATATCAAATTCATCTGTTATGGAATAAGGTACTTGCAATTTAATTTGGAAAGGGTGGGGCTGTCATTTTCTTTGAGCTGCAACATTTTCTTTATTTATCTTGACAATTCATATTTTATCCAAATAGATTCATGACATAACATGGTCTGATTTTGATATTAAAAAAATGGAAATTAAACCAAAACAGTGTCAAGCCCCTACTCCAGAACAATGAACTGTTGGTTTTTAATATACATGTACTTGCAGTATACCATATGTATCAGACAGAATGTTCAGAAATACTGTGGTACAGAATTTTTCATGATACATACCCTGGTCCAGTCACATGTAGCCATGGACACACAACACAGCACAGAAATGTGTTCTCATGATAGAAAACAAAAACTGGTAAAATTTTTACAAAACATCTTAACCTGGACTTTCAATCTGTCATCCTTAGGAAATTGTAATTAAATACAGCGGAAATAGCCTGTCTTCAAAACAACAGCTCATGAATTTGCTGGTCATCAAATTTTATAGAGGTAGGATATATACCAAGATACTGTCAAGTTTGGTTGAAACTGGTCCAAAGATTGTGAAAAGGAGTTGAAAACAGCATTGCTCACATATGATGAACAGGACTATCTATTTTTGGTAATGACCTTATTTGCAGGCAAATTGTTATCACTTGTACAAATCTGAAAAATTTTCATTACACAATACATTCTTTCAAAACTTTACAATACTAGGTTTTGCAGTCTGGAGAAGAAATTGATTAAAGGTTTATCTTTGTTTTATAATGGCTGCTGCATCATCATCAATTGTGATAATGAGAAAGGCCTAGGATTCTCTGTGCCAAATCTGGACAGATGACAGATGTATATCAGACTGCATTGGGCAGTTTTTTTATAGAAATTGTAGACAGATGACAGATATACATCAGACTGCATTGGGCAGTTCTTTTTATAGAAATTATGGACAGACAGATTACAACAGACTGCATCTGGCAGTTCTTTTTAAGAAATTGTGGACAGATGACAGATGTACAACAGACTACATCGGGCAGTTCTTTTTGAGAAATTATGACAGATGTACAGCAGACTGCATCAGGCAGTTCTTTTTGAGAAATTGGACAGATGACAGATGTACATCAGACTACATCAGGCAGTTCTTTTTGAGAAACTGGACAGATGACAGATGTACATCAAACTGCATCAGGCAGTTCTTTTGTAGAAATTGGACAGATGACAGATGTACATCAGACTGCACCAGGCGGTTATTTTTGAGAAATTGTGGATAGATGGCAGATGTATATGAGACTGTGTAAACAATGAATGAGACAGATAGCCCTGTGGTAAGCTCAATCAGCCTTTCATGCAGATTTTTTTCAAAGTCATAAATTTTAAAAATGTTTTGAAAAGTGATGTGTGGGTGAATTGCAAATGATAAAGTTTTTATTAATGAATGGTAGCCTCAGTTTTAAAGACTGGAATGGGCTTCTCATCATGCACATAGATACAAAATCTGTCATAATGATGACATGTTATCAAAATGCAATTTAAAAATTAATGTAATAACCCAATATATGAACACTGTCAAAGCATGATATAATTTTTTAAATTTATTTGTCCAATATAAATTTTGCTTCTGGGATGTCATAAAAGCCAGGAGTCTCTGATTTATTTGCCATAAATTTGTATAGAGATCTTCACCTACAATTCCAGAATAAAAACAAGTTGAATTTATAAGTTTTATAAGACATCACTGTACATGTATTCAGTTTGGATATGATTCATCCAATTATGATTAGCATCTTCCATTTAATGCAAATCAATCCAGAGCTAGAAGATGCTTGCTTTTTTAAATTTGGCAACACTAAAAGCACTTGCTTGACATACAATTCAAATTATGTCAGAGAAAACCATAAATATATAATTTACCCCTAATACACATGTAATGTCTTCACTATTGTGAATTGTCAAAACTTTCAATGTTAATGTTACAAAGTATCCTTCTGAAATCAATTACTGTATGCTGCTACCATTTTGACTCATGAACAATGCCCTGATCTTACATAATATTGGTTAGTTGGCATTACATGCAAAATGAGATAACTCATGACATAGAATACATGTCACTAGGAAAAAGCAATGAAATATCTGATGATCAGCAATGGTGCAGATAGGGTAAACACGTCGGAACCACAGCTAGCAAAAGTGTAAGTAGGGATGAAACAGCACAAAACACATTATGATAAGATCCGAGTGTGCATACAGGTGTACATGGAACAAATTATAGATCAATTTAAATAAATGACCCGAATTCCCAAGAAGCAAAATACAATCTAGATATAAACTAAAATTACTCTAAAATTGATAAAATACACAAAATAAAATAATTGTACTTCAAAGCCAAGCTGTATTTGCCATTAAGTTGCCTATTGTCATGATAAATTGACAATAGAAACCTACATCCTACATGAATTAGCAACAGATAATATTAGATTTGATGGGACTGGTAATTTTTTGGCAGTATGTGTGTGTGATTTTGATTTTGAACGTAGTCTGAACAATTTTATTCAGTCATATTGTTATGTCTGCCACAGTTTAGCAGTTTATAGTGATGTCTATCACAGGGACTCCTGCCACTAAAATGTAGCATCATGTCCCACCCAGTCAACTTATCCTGACACAAGTTCATGCACTATCCTCTTAGTGCTATGCGCCAAGTGAGGAAGTTGCAAGTATCATTTTTTTATGTCTTTGGTATGACTCAGCTGGGGTTCAAACCTACAACTTCCTGCATCCAAAGCAGATGCTCTAACCACTAGGCAACCAGAGCAGATTTGTGGCAGTAACTGGTGTGACCAGATGTATGTGCATTATAGTACATGAGCATATCATTATTGCCACATCATGAAAATTGTATATAAAATAACACACAGCAACACCTGACTACACAGTAGCTAGATTCCCCTTAATGGACTCAATGTAAAATAGCCCGTTATTGAAACATCACACCAACTTGACTTTATCAGTGCTGAATGTTTGTTTCCATCATCATGGCTGGTTAATACAGACTACTGCATTACTAATACATCAATGTAATTTATACATGGAGAGCATTGATTTTATTCATGCTCTTGTCACATTTTCAAAACCAATCTCTATATTCTTCCTTTTAAACCATGAAAGCAACAAGAACCATATTTATAGTGACAGCTCATAATTGATCAGTCAGTTTACTTGTAGGCTCTTCTAAAAAGATCAGTGTCTGCCAGTAAATAAAGATGTAGTACACCATGTGGTACACCATTTATGAACTTAAGGAAATGTATCCCAGAATGCAAGTGTTTAAAGATGTTATATAAGGAAGGCAACATGCATGCTATCAACCACATTTGGAAGCCTCTAATGCAGGCATTGACAACTGCCTCAATAGCAAAGACTCGAGAAGTGAATTTTAAAGCCACGCTCAACTAAGTAAATAGATGGATAAAAACCAGTTCCCTATACCATATTCTGCCCACCCTTGCACTATCATCTATTCACACACAAGTACATTTGGACATCTGTGTACCATCCACATGGAATCAAAACACCTCAATATAACTTTCCATGTGCAAGAAGCAGCAAACAAAAATTTTTCAAGATGGCTGCTGTGCAGCAATACTAGATGACTAATTGGGAACCATTTTTATTTAGGACCAGGCAGACTTCATCAGGGCCATAGAGAGTGATCACGGGCAATTATTTAAGAAATACCCAGGCCTCTCCTAGTTGTTGTTCACACATAATTTTTCTTTTATAAAATTAAAGTGTTGTTCAGCCCAGGCCTGGGCCGCAAGGGTATATCCACAGTTGCCCACCCCACTCTTGTCAACCCTGGATATCATCAAAAGTTTTGTAATTAAATCCCAACTTTGAAATGACCATTCATTCAGGAATGGCATTAAGATTTTCAAAATTGCCACTGCATTGGCCATCTTAGATGTCCTGGCAGCAGCATTTTAATTCAGAACTAGACATCATAATTAGTCTTATGTCAATATGATTTTTCTTTGAGGAGAAGTGATAAGAAAAGTTTCAAGATCGTAGCATGCTGCCATAAGGACTATCAGTGGCACCATTTTCATCATAGGACCTACTGGACATGATTAGAATTCAGGAAAAGTAACCATAAAATATATGCCAACAAAATGACAAATGTATGTCAGATAATGGGTCATCCCAAAATTTTGTCTGGTCAACCAACATATTTTTTCAAACAAAATTCTATATAAAGATTGACTATTTAAATTTAAAAGAAATTTCACATTTTTGCATCAATGCAATACAGTCAAACTTGAGATGTACAATACACCAACAGGCAATACACTCAGCCCCTATACCCTACAAAAACTGGCATAGCCCCCAAACCTGCAGAGTGCCTCATAAAGACAGCATGATCCCATGCCTGCAGAGGGCAATGTTGCTCATTATACTTTTCCAGTTTCCCTTGCTTCTTTCTTTAAACTTTTACATTGTAACTTAAGGGTTAAATAATCCCACCCCAATCCAATTAAAACAATGGATTCCTGACCAGAGGAATGCAGGTTAAATTCCCACCATCAAATCATCCTTGATCAGTTACAACTCTGTTTTCAGGCAAGGTACTTTATTCCATTTGCCTTGACATGACAGAAATTTCCAAACTAAACCAACACTATAATAGTACACTTTTACCTTACGGTAAATAAAACCAACACTATAATAGTATATTTTTACTATCAATCCATAGAACATAAAAGAAAACCAACACGATAATAGTATATTTGTACCACCCCATCCATCCATCAAAAAAAAAAACAAACACTTTAACAGCATATTTTTACCATCCTGTCCATAAAACACAAAACAAAACCAACACTGTAACAGTATACTTTTACCAACCTGTCCCCTTAATCAGAGACCGCATCTTATTCAGAAGGCACTTCTCCACTGCAGGGAGACTGCACTGATAGTTATCATAATCATAACCATCATCAGTCCCATAGTCTGGTAGACCATTGGGACACCACACAAGACTGAACAACCAATTCCTCTATTCCTCTTAATTTTCCATCTTTCTCAATGAGTCACTCACTGTCAAGTTATATCCACTCCCGAATGTTGTCTTCCCATCTCTTTCTCTGCCTGCCATATTTCTTCTTCCTTTTACTGACCCTTGCAGGATTGTCTTGGCAAGTCCTGATACTTGTGAAAAATGCCCATACCACTGCGCTTTATGTTTTTTACTTTGGTCAGGAGGTCTTTGTGAGGCCCAATGGCATGTCTGATCCTTTGCCATAGTTCTTCATTGGTGACACAGTCTTTGTATAAGATGCCATCGATCTTTTGGAAGCATCTCATCTCTTTGGCCTGTAAACTTTTATCTACGTCAGCTGTTATGGTCCATGATTCACAGGCATAGAAAAAAATATGGAGATCTTTAATACGTGCATCAGTCTGACCTTTGAACTGAGCGCAATGTTCTTGTCGCTCCAGATGGGCTTCAGTTTTGTCAGTGCTCCTGTTGTCTTCGCAATCCTGGAGAGTACTTCAGGCTTTGATCCTTCATCTGTTACAACTGCCCCCAAATACTTGAAGCTGTGGACTGTTTCAAGTTTTGTACCTTGGACCATGATGTCAGTAGTGTTGTTGGTCATCAGTTTGGTCTTCTCTACAACAGGCTGCAAAGGTTTTGTTGATTCTCTCTACTAAGCTAGCTAGTTATAGCTCATTTTCTGCTAGTCCATCAATGTCATCGGCAAAACTTAAGTTGGTGATTGTTTTGCCTCCGATGCTGAGTGTCCCTTCATGCTTTTCAAGTGAGTCAGCCATGATTCTCTCCAGAAAGATGTTCAGACAACCTTGTCTGACGAAGACTGTTGTTCTGAACCAGGACCCAATACTGCCATTGAAGTATACTGCACATGTGGCCTTATCATAGAGGTGCTATTTTACTGTAATGAGATTGGTATTGATGTTGTACAGTCTCATGATCACCCACAAGGTTGCATGCCATACTCTGTTGAATGCCTTCTTAAAATCCACAAAGTCATAGTACAGATCTTGCTGATGTTACAATGAGGTACTTCTCATACAATATCCTGGCCATACTCCTGTTTGCCAGATCTTTTAGCAGATATTTATGAGGGCGCCAATCATTGCCTCTTCCCCTACTCGGACCACTCCTGCTGACTTCCTCTTTTTCAGTGATCTCAATGCTGCTTCTACTTTTTCACACAGGATAGGATGGTTGTTGTTGTTAGTTGCTGGAGGGATGTTTAGAACCTCTGGATCTATTGTGGCTTGGTGGTTCTAAAGTTCTGTGCTGTACTTTGTCCATCTTTTCAAAATGTCTTTTTCTTCTGCAAGGCAGTTACTAACTTTGTCCTGTAAGGAGGTAACTCACTGTTGTTTTATGCTTGTTAGATCCCTGACCATTTGGTACACTTTCTTGCTGTTGTTCCTTTTCAGGTTTTCTTCAATGTCTTTGGACTGTTCTTCTATCCATTGTTTTTGTTTTGATTTTTTCATGCTTTTGTTGACTTCCCAGTTGACTGCCTTATACTGCTCTGTCCCTTCTGTATCATTCTTTTTCTTCTTCAGCTCCTTCCTCTTGTCACACAGGTTCAGGACTCAGCTGTGACCCAGGATTTCTTGACAGGGTGATATCTACCAAGGATATCGCTGGCTGTTTCCGTCATCACTGTAGTAAAGATGGTGATCCATATCTGTATTGTCAGCATTGAGGACAGTGAGCGGTGCAAATTTCCCACCGGAAGGCTTCTGCTACTTCAGGATCCTTCAGTTTCTCAAGATCAAACTTTGTTCTTGTGTGGCTCTCTTTCTTGACCTTCTTTAGATGTAGCCTGATGGTCATCATCACCAGATCATGGTCACTTCTAATGACTGCTCCAGGAAAGCTTTGAGTCTTGGAAATGTTTACACTTGACTCTACATGTCTCTTCACCATGATGTAGTCGATCTGACTGTGATGGTCTCTGCTTGGACTCTGCCATATCAATCTTCTAGATACTTTGTGTTGGCCGAAGGTGATTGCCAGCATAAGGTCATTGTAACTAGTGAATTCCAGGAGACTCTTGTTGGTCTGTGCATTGCAATAGTGCCCACATGTTCCTTTCCTGTTCATGGAAGCGTTTTCCCCTATCTTGGCATTCCAATCACCTTGCACAACCAGAAAGTCTTTCTTCAGTGTTTATTCCACAACTTCTTGTTGCTAGTCACAGCAGTCTGCGTCATCGGAGCCTGAATTTTGGGTCATGTGCCTTTATGATGGTGATGTTGAATGGATTTACTTTGAGATGGATGGTGATGAGCCGGCTGGAGAGTGGCCGACATCCCATGACAGTACTCACACTGTCCTTGTGGACAAGGAGCCCAACTCCCTGCTCATGTTTGTCCTTTCTGCCACTGAAGTAGTTTGTGGCCTTCAAAGGTAGTTGTTTCTATAATGTTCTTCCATCGTATCTTGCATAGTCCTAGGAATTGTTCCAGTGATATATGTTTATTTCATATGTTAGCTTCTCAAGCTTTCCTGCTGCTCTCAGTGATCTCACATTCCAGGTGTCAATGTTGATCTTGTTCCTGACACGAATAGCTGCTCTGAGCACCAGTCACATACTTTCAGCTTCTGCCCTGGTGCACGATGGAAGGTGTGGCCCTTGTTGACCCGGTCGACGACAGAGCCGGTTTGGGATGAGCAATGGTTCTCATTTTTCATGTGGTGTGTCTAGGGCAGCTGACACCTAGTGGAGTCCAACCCTCTCCAGGCCTGACAACAGTCAATTTCCTCCAA